CACACACACACACACACACACACACACACACACACACACACACACACACAGAGTGGGATTACGAGGGAACAGAAGGAGGAACATTATGTGACAGAAAGCAGCCTGAAACGACAGTTAAATAAAATCAGGTGTTATTATATTTACTGATTATTACCTCATCTTCAAAGTCCTCGCCAATGCTGAAAAGGCCACTTAATTTACAGGTCTGTAACACAAATACAAACACAACAATAAAACACAGCACGAGTACCAATAAATGTCAATAATAATAATAATAATAGTAATAATATGTCCTGGTAAACTCGAAAACATGCCACACATTTGAGCTACTTAACGTGTATTAGCTTAGTTAGCCTCAGCTGCGTTCAGTTTGCTGGACTTACCATTGCAGTCATGGGCTATCGCGATTAAAAACCGTTGTTGATCACTTTGAACAAATATACCAGACTTTGTAAGACATTAATTGCCATTTAATGCCGGCTTACAAATATGATCTCTGCTATTTCTTTTCCTTTTTAACTACAGTTAAGTGAGACTAGCTTGCTAGCTACAGGTAAAGTTTATCTGGGCTGTACTGCTTGGTATCGCGCCGCCACGTTCAAACACGACGTGATGACGTAAGGAATGTTTTTACAAAGGAGGTTGAGGTGAAGCGAGATGATTCAATCCCCATTCCCATTAGATGTAGCTCCGTTTTTGTTCCAAGTTTAGCGACGCTACGGCGTGGTTAATAACAAACCTATCTTACTAATAAAAATAACCGATTCACGCAAATACTCTTTTTTTTCTTAAAAGACAAAATTCTTTAGCAATTTTGTAATGTCTCCCAGACGAGACATCCAGACGAGCTAGTATCATCTCTGAGAGAGCAAAACATTTTCTTTTTTTTTTACTCGTGAGCAGTAGATGTTCAGGTAGACAGCTGTCGTAGTTGTGAAAGCTATCAAGTTTATTCGTAATAAAGTCCAAATTGGCTTTTCTTCTTACCACCTTTCCCTTACGTGAATTTCGGGACGCTATGAATTTCTCACTTTTTAAAGTTGTGATCACGTGGCCTTCCTCGTTGATTTGTATAGATTATCTTGATACTTCTATGCTCTTTGGCGTTCATGACCGCAATAGAGCTAAATGCTGGGTCGATACTGTCATCTAGTGGTCGCTGTGGAAACACTTAGTATCAGCTTACGTTCTGATCTATTAATATTCAGTGCTGAACTTGTGCAACAATCTTGTGACTGTAGCCACCACGGAAGGGCATTTAATTTGGAAATCGCTTCATAATAGTTTAATTTCAAAGGGAAATGAACCTGATTCTAGCTGTGAAAGTATTTAGTTGACCTCTGCTTGGACTCCTGTCACTCACAGCAGTTCCATTAAAGGGTGAGTAAACGCTGCATGTTGCTATTTTCAGTAAACAGTACTTCCCAGTGCTTCAGAGGCTGGCTTTAGCGGGGTGAATGTGTTAATGTTCTGCTGTGATAAAACTGGAAAATGGCATGAAATCAGTACTTTTAAACCTGTGTTTTGACTTTAAGGCCCCATGTCAAAGGACACATTCCCATTTACCTCTACTTCACTGCGCTCTCTGAGACTGGAGCAGGCGTTTCAGGAATGGGAGGATGCACGGCGGGCACTGGCTCACAGGAGAGCCATGACTAGAGCGCCTTTGCCTCGGGCCCCAAGGCCTCCTCCCCGTCAGCAGCGGCTCCAGGAAGTCAGGGCCCCTCCACCCCAGGTGAAGTGCAGAGACACTGCCGTCCACAACACCTTCATGTGCGGGGACATGAAAGGAGTGTATGCAGTGCTGAAGGACCCTGCTATGGTCAATGCCTTGATGGAGACAGTGCATGAGGAGATGGTGTGGGCTCCAGAGATGGGTATGACTTTACAGATCTCTATCTTTTAATCTTCTATAAACGCTTTAATTGAATGAACTCCCTTTTCCTTCTTCCGCCAGGCATGTGGACCATGAGCTCCACGGTGAAACAGACCTCAGCCTTACGTCTGGCTGCCAGCAGAGGACACACAGCATGTGTGGAGGAGCTGCTGTTTCGTGAGGCGGAGGTGAACGCTGACCCTGGAGGCAACACAGCCCTCCACGATGCCTGCATAGGTGGCCATTCTATTTGTGTCCAGCTGCTGCTCTCTCATGGAGCAGAGCCTGATCTGTTGGCTGCAGATGGCAGTGCCCCTCTTCACCTCTGTACCTCTGCCCAGTCATTCCAGTAAGTGCTAAAAAAGCTGACGACTTTATTCTTATTGTGCTTAAGCAGAAATATTCAGCAGAGGGTATTGTTGCCAAGGAGTAGCTGAAGCAAAGCTTTATATTAATCTTGTCTTATATGAAAAATGTCCTTTAAAAGCTATTTTCTCAACTGCGGTAAAAAAACAACAAAAAAAACAAAACAACGTAGTTTAATAGAATGTAATGTAATAATACAAATCTAGTGAGCCAGGAAAAAAAACATTTCTGAGATATTATGAAAAATATCTGAGGGAGATGGATTTCTTATGGTCTGAATGTAGATATTGTGCATGTCGTGACCAGTAAATGTACTATTCTTTAAAGCTGCGCTGAGCTGCTTTTAGAAGGAGGTGCAGAGGTCAATGTGAGGACCAGGGAGTCGAGACTCACACCTCTGCATGTGGCTGCTCGGCGAGGCCTCGAAGAGCACATCCAGCTCTTTCTTAGCCACGGAGCTGATGTGTTAGCCACAAATCGAGAGGGCGAGACCCCTCTGAACGCTGCATGCTCCGGAGCCGAGAGACCATCTGAGGCCGGACGCTATCTTCGTGTGGTTCAGAAGCTTTTGGACGCAGGAGCTGATGCTCGAACTGCAGGCAGGAAGCAGCACACTCCACTGCACAACGCCTGTGCAAACTGCTGCCCCAGGATTGTAGACCTCCTCCTGCAGCATGGGGCCAAGGCTGATGTCACCAACTGTGCAGGATACACAGCCATGGACTGTTTGCTGCAGGTAGCAGATGCTATGTATAAGAGCAACAAAGTACTATTTAGCATTGCAAACACAGAAACACATTTTTAAGTTTGAGCATTCGGATAAAAACTTTTCTGTTTGGTTCTTAAGGTGGTAGAAGATTTCCCGGACCAGCAACCTGAAGCAATTGCACGATCACTTCTGAACCACGGAGCTAAGCCTGTTTCACCAAAGGTTTGATCAAACAGCCACGCTGTGAGGGAATGTGAGAACTGCTGCATGTAAATTGTAGTGTTATCTAATGCGCGCACACTGACAACACTGACTCCATGCCAGTGCTGTCAGTGTGGTGATGAAACTTCATGAGGCAACAGTTTCAAAATACGTAAGGCTTAGATAAATACTACATCAGGGATTGTAAAAAAACAAAACAATCTTTAAATGAAATATTAATACATGTCAAAGTCTGAAGAGTAGAAACAAACAAGAAAAAAACATTATGAAATATTAGATGGGGGGGGTCTATCTACATTTTTGTAAATCTGCAACAAAATATGTAAATAAAAAAATGTAAACACTTTAAAATTAGACAAAACCAACAAAGTTAGTGAGAACGTAAAAAGCAAAAAGTGAACATGGAAAAAAGGAATAATGTCAATATGTCCTTTTTATTCAAATTAAGTCTTTCTCTCCATTTCAAGAAATCCTGACTTTTATAAAGCTGCAAGTTGGGTTTATAATACTTGTTTTAAACAGCATATATAACAGCTAGTGTGCTGGCTGAAAGAAGATTGCTGAGACGCTGTAGTCTGCAGTTTGCTTCCTGTTTCGGCCTTTCTTTAGTTTCGTTTTTACTACCTCTTTCATTTAGGGAAAGATCATGGTTTATGTTCAAATATGAGAAGTCAGGAGTGAAACCAGGCTCTCTATTGCTGCTAAAGAAAGTTATGCACATCTCTGACTTTCATTATGTTTGACATGCCTGAGCTGAGAATAGACTCAGTGATTAGTGATGAAACCTTCACAAGATCAAATATTTGATATAGTGTGAACAATTATATAAATACACCTGCCACTTTATTAGGTATACCTGTTTAACTGTTTATGAATGCAAATGTCTAATCATCAGCAACTTAGTGCATTTACGCATGAAGACATGGTAAAAATGCTAGAGTTCAAACAGAATGGGGAAGAAAGGTGATTTAAATTACTTTGAAGGTGGCGTGATTGTTGGTGCCAGTGTGGTCTGATGCTTCCAAAACCGTTCATCTCACACAACCATTTCTAGTGTTTACAGAAAATGATCTGAAAAAGAGAAAATATCCAGTGAGCATCAGTTTTGTGGGAGAAAATATCTCATTTATGTCATAGCTCAGAAGAGCTGATAGAAACCAGGTAATCGAGAAACTCAAATAACCACCTGTTACAACCAAGGTGTGCAGACGAGTATCTGTAAATGCATAACAGATCAAACCATGAAGCAGATGGGCTCGAGTAGGGGTGTCCAGCTCCAGGCTCAAGGTCCTGGTTTTAAATATTACCCTGAGTCAACACACCTGAATCAAATGATTAGTTCATTACCAGCCCTCTGGACAACTTCAAGACATGTTGAGGAGGCAATTTAGCCATTTAAATCAGCTGTGTTGGATCAAGGACACATCTAAAACCTGTAGGAGACTGGCCCTTGAGGCATGGAGTTGGACACCCATGGGCTCCAGCAGCAGAAACCACGCCGGTTGCCACTCATCAACTCCTTAAACGTGACAGTGATGTTACTGTACTCAAATGGCCTTTAAAGTCACCAGATCTCAATCCAATAGAGAACTTCTGGGACGTGGTGGATGTGAAGGTGACATATCTGCAGCAACTGCATCGTGTCATCATTTCTACATGGACCAAATTCTCCACTGAATGTATTCAGTGCTTTGTTGAATCTGTGAGATGAAGAATTAAGGCACTTCTGAAGGCAAAATGGAGTTCAACACATGAGAAGCAAAGTGTACCTAATAAAGTGGGTGGGGCCCTTATGTGTCAGTTGTAGATGGGACCTAAATGTGCTCAGCAGAAGCAGGTGAAATAGAGAAGAGGTGAATCTTTAATAGAGCGTCTCTCAGCTGTCATAGGATGCGAGGCCGGGCATGGCCCAGGGCTGGAACAGATTAGGAAGACAAGGAAACTAAAGCACAGACAAAACAGAGGAAGTCAAAGAAACACAGGAGACTCTGGAAAAATGTGCAGAATGAGGAAAAACGTCATTTAAATCAAAACAGGAAACAAAAACTTAACAAATACACAGTGACACCAGTGTCATCAGCATGTAATAGTTATTGGTACCATATGACATAAAATTCATAAAGTAACATGTTTTATTACCAAAATAACATCACTTAAATGTAATAAGCTATTGAATGATTAATTAGTTACTGTCAAATTTTACAAGCAGTGTTTTATTTGCAGATGCTGAAGCAGTGTGTGCTCTCCCTGGCCACTGTCGAGGTGCTGCTGAACTCGTACCCCCACCTCCCGCCCTGTGAATGGATGGATGCTGTGTCTGCTGAGATATATGAGGTGAGCTCTCCGCAGTGTTAAATCTACTCTCCTCTGCTTGTTTACCTTCAGCACTGTAGTGTTTCTGTTTCTACCTCCCTGCCTCAGGAGCATCGGTCTTTCTTCCAGTTGGTGCGTCAGCGAAGTGCTCAGCCTCGCTCTCTGCAGCATCTCTGTCGGTGTGCTTTACGTCAGCATTTAGGAGCCCAGTGTCACTCAGTTGTCAGCAAATTGGACATTCCCAGCTGTGTAAGGGATTATTTGTTGCTCTGTAATGATGGCACGCTCTTCTGACTGTACATATTGTGTATCTTGCCTCATTGGAAACTTATATTATTTTAGATTTCAGGGGTTTTCAGGTGGTGACCCTCAGATACATATGATAGAAATGAGCGTGTTACTTGACTTTACAAAAATAGTTGCACTGAAGAACACAAATGTATGTAAATTAGATTTAAATGACATGTTTGTGAAATTCAGACACATTTAATGGTTTTATTTGTTCATGGGGAAGCGAATAACCAAGAAAACGTTCATATGAAGTTCTAAGAAGTTTCGGGCTATTTACTGTTGATTTGGATTAGTTGGTGCTATATGTGTATACGAAATGTTCATGGAAGTAATGAAGAAGGAGCTGCAGACAGAAAAGTCAATGAAAAGAAGCTCCTGGTGCAGTTTTTCTCCTGATGTTAATGTCAGAGGAAGTTTGAAATGCTCGTTGTCGCCTCTCTCAGCTCTCATGGGGCAGAGACTGGGTACACACTGGACCCACCAGTCGCCAGGCTATTACAGGGCTAACACAGAGTTCACATATTTTTTCATTTAATTAATTGATTTCGTTTTGAATCCTTTGTGAATACTGAACCTACGAACAACTTTGGGCCATACAAATCATAGGATTTTTTTTTCTCGTAGGTGCTTTTATATATAAATTAATAAAATATTTAAATATTTTCAAATAAACAACTAACAACGATGTAACAATAAAACTGTTTTTAAAAAAAACTACAGTTATGTATTTATTTACGTTGTATCATAGAAGTGGAGCAATGGGCGCGCAAACAGTTTCCAAAACACGCGCCCACCCCGCTGGCCCGTGATGACGTCACGCCGCCGCTATGTTTATTATGTGGTTTTTAAGCAGCAGCAGTTGCTAGCTAGCATTAAGCCTCGCCTTCAACCATGCGCTGATTTTACAGCTGGCAGGTGAGATCATTTGATGTTTATGCATATCGGTACATACGATAAAGACTTTTATATGTCTGGCCGAAGCAGTTGCTCTGTCGGACAACTATTATGCGACAAAATAAATCGAACTATGAGAGCCGTAAACAACGGAATGTCGTGGGTTTTTTTTTCAGTTAGCTACTTAAGCTAGGTGGGAAGCTAAGTTGGGTCGTAGACAGCAGCGTAAACTACAGTGTTGTAAGTGCAGCAGAATAGCTTTCGTTGTGGCTAGCGTCTAGGTTAAGGCTGTACATCGTGTGGAAAAATCATGACAGGAAGAAAAAGAGGGGAAAACAATAATGACACGGCCCTGAATTAGCCGGATGGCTGGCTGAGACTTCCCTGCTACACGAAACAGCTGTTGACCAACCTTGGTAAATGCTACGTGTATTTCTGTAAAGTAATTCTGACGCCGATGAAACCAGGCCTTGATTTCTGAATTTGTAAATACACCTTGAAAGGTTTATCTCTCCCCCCCCTACTACAATTCTTCTTAAAAAAAAATAAATTAAAAAGTACAAATGTAAATATGCAACTGCATGCAGCTACTGAGCTTTGAAGTGCTTTCACTAGAGTTTGTGTCTACAAGAATAGAAGAGTAAATGCACAGAAAAACGGGTTGTAAGCATGAATGAGTGTCCTACACAAAAAAGTAAACTTACACTTCAAGAAGGAGGAAAAAAGATATTACACTTATGTTTTCCCCCGTCATCATACAGCCTATGGGTGGAACATGTGAATCAAATCCTGTGTCATGTCGTTTTCATATGTTTTCAAATGGGCTGAAATTAGAAAATTGATCAGTAAATATTTTGACAGTTGAATAACCCAAACCTCTCCTTTGCCCAGTTCCCTTGTTTATCTGCTTTTCTAGTGTTTCATAGATATGTCAGTAATAAATTAATTGTTTGATGCAGTAAACCTGGAGTGAGAAATTGCTATGAGACGGACGGTAGTTTGTCACAGTTAAGTAAACCCAGTGCTACCATATGGCTGTCTTGTTCAGTGTACTGTAAGACCTGTAGAGATCTCAGAGTGCAATTGACGTTGTTTAGCTGTAACTGAATAGATGTAGAGGAACCTTCTTGCTTGTTTCAACAAAAAAAACCCAAAAACGAATAAAAACAAATTAATATGCTAGAGTATTTCATGGCTTCAACTATGGATGTGTGACTATAGTCTAAGTTTCCATTAAGTAAGGATAATGAGTCTCTGATACATTATATAACAACCCCCCTCTTGCTTTGTTATTTATCAGTTCATAAATAGAAGAAAAATTGGCAAAAAAAAAGGGAAAAAAAACTTTACAATGCGCACATTGTTTTTGGCTTAGGCCTAAAACCTTTCTGTAGAGTGCCAAAAGGTTTGTGCAGGGGGAAAAAAACAAACGCAACAGTATTACAGCTGGCTTCCTTTGGATAATGTCATGCCTGCCACCTCATTCAGTGTCTTTGCTGTGCTAATTTTGGTTTTCCTTCAAAGAATAAACACCAGATTATAATAGAAATTGTCAATGACCAGAAATAACAGGAAAATTCCCAAACTTATTCCTAACTCAAAATGGATCTTTGAGATCCCCTATTTTATGCTTGAGTATATAGAACCCTGATTAACAGTGGTTTAAAAAAGTAGTTTTGTTATTATGGTGATTTTTATTTGAGGGGGAAAAAAGTAAACTTGTCTGGGGATAACAACAAATCACATATTTGTAGGAGAAAAACCATGTTTTCATGTAGGAAGTTCTGTGTACATCTACAATGTTATCTTAGAAAGTTTAGATCAGTTTGTTTAGATCATACTATCACATGCAGTCTGAGGCAAACTGTTGAACAGGCTCTACAGCACTTGGAGCCACATTTGAAATTGTATGCTACGAAATGTCTTAAACCTGTGTTTTCTTCAGGATTAGAGGACAGAGATGGCAGTGTGTGCACTGACCATGTTGGATGGGATGGAGGATGAGGTGACAGCAGCAGGTGGTGTATTGCTTCTGTTCTTGGCCCTCATCTTGGCTTGGCTCTCAACCCATGTGGCTGATCGGGGAGACCACATATTGGGCACGATCCTCACTGTGGGTGCTCATGCCTCTCTGATTGGACTGGGAGGCCATGACAACTACGGTGGAGGGTCAGCTAGTGCCGACACCCCTGAGCAGCAGACGCCTCCACCTTCTCAGGAGAACAAGCCGGACGAAGGAGAGCCGGCAGCTGACAGAGGAGAGGGTGAGGGGACTGTAGAGGGAGCCGAGGGGGTTTGGACAGATTTGTTGCTGGACATACAGAGCAAACAACCACAGGCTGGAAGACTGCTTGTCACTTCTGATGGAGAGGATGATGAGGCTGATGAGGAGGATGAGGAGGAGGAGTTGGAGGAGGAAGTGAAAAAGGCTACAAAGCCTATTCCAATTTTGACCAGCACCACCTCTTCTCCTACCATCACCAGTAGTACCACTTCCATCTCTGTCCGTCTGAAGTTTTTGAATGACACAGAGGAAGTGGCTGTTGTAGAGCCACAAGATACAGTTGGGATACTAAAAAGGTTGGTAAAATAACTGAAAATCCATCAAACTTCAAGAATATCAGAATAATTCACAGATGATACACCCATTAGGCAGTTAGCTTAGCATAAAGATTGTGCCGCCTTGCAATGTTAATTTATCAAGAGCTTATACTTAGTTTGCTGGCTTACACTGGAAGGCTTTACCTTACTGTTGCTTTTCATGTTTTTTGTTTTTTGCAAAGCTTAAACAAGATGCCACATATTACTCAGTCAGCTTATAAATGTTCATTTAAGGCATGTTTTATTACCTTTAGACAGAGCCAAAAGTTTCTTTTATTGTCTTTCTGCTAAGTAAGTTAATTGGCTTATGTCTGAAACCTTGGATTGATTGTACAGGAGTGGTATTGATCTTCTTGTCTAACTCTTGGAAAGAAAGCGCCTTATAACTGCTTTAATTTCTCATCTCCCTTCTTTTCCAGCAAATGTTTCTCAGGGCGGGAGCATCAAATTAAATTAATCTTCCAAGGCCAGCTGCTGCAGGATCCCAAGAGGACTCTGTTATCCCTAAACATCACAGACAACAGCGTGATCCACTGCCACATCTCTCAGACCCTGCATGATTCCAGTCCAGAGGAGGGGGCTCAGTCCGGAACAGGAGCAGGAGCCGGGTCCGGAGTCTCCAGTGGATTCAGGGCGGCAGGTGTAGCCATAAGCACCGGCAGCCTGGTGGTGCCTGTCTTTGTGGTGATTCTTGCTGTCGTGTGGTATTTCCGCCTCAACTACAGGCAGTTCTTCACCGCCCCTGCGACCATCTCCCTTGTGGGAGTCACTGTGTTCTTTAGCTTTTTGATATTTGGGATGCACAGCCGCTGAAAAGGCAAAGAAAGGGCACACACTTATAGTTGAATGTTGTGAGGTGAAATAAAAATAACTACAGCAGTGGGTGAGTGTCTGGAGAGATGTACTGACCATAAAGGGCCTCGGTGCAGATGCTGCAGCTGGTTTGAGAGCGTGCATTTGTGCGAGCGTGTGGGTGGTTAAGTGAGCCTGTTTGTGCATGTACAAAGATAAAAACATGAGTGACTGAGGAGTGTAAGTGCAGTTTAAAAAAACAAGACAAAAAAACCAGCAGTGAGTGAGCATTTGCTTTAACTAAAACCTAATTTAGTTCCTATTCAAAGATGTAGTGGTTCAGACCATGTTGTAATACTGGCTTCATCTCATGGCTCTTTATTGCTGTAAAATACTCATTATGCTTTCCTGTGCGCTATTCTTTGAGATGACTTTGTGTTTTAAATGTACAGTAAATACAGTCTACACTTACTACAGGTGAACGGCAGCCACCTTAATTAGCATTATGCACTTGAATTGGGAGGGGTAGCAAAATAGAATTCAGTTGACAGCAGTCTATCTGTTGACATCTAGTGGTAAGATTTTACATACTGTACCTTTTAAGAAAACCAACAAAAAAAATGGCTTAAAATCATTTGGAACCACTCACTGTTGTGCTGCGTGTGCCAGTTTGAGTCTTTGCCATCATTGTATTATTTGAATGACTCGAGCTCTCTGTATGCAAATATAAATTGTACAACTGCCTCAGTGCAAGACTGTTTCTTTTATGCTACGTAGGAGTAGTTTAATTTAAACATTATGAAAAGATACTGTAAATATATTGTGTATTTTGTGTAAATAAAATTATACAATGAATCAATGTGCATCTGGCACTTGCTGTCAGACTGCTCTGGTTTCAGTTGCATCTCTTATTAAAGCATTTCAAAACAAACCCCTTCTACTAGCTCTTTGTGGTTTAAAGAAGTCAGTCTGATGGTATTGGTGTTTATTTATATACAAACATCAGTATGCATGGCAGTGGAAAAAAAAGAAAAGAAAAATAATTTATGTATCACATTGTGTTCAGATACAAGTTGTGCACACATGCACTTATTTGTGCTTGTGCATGGAAAAAAAAGGAAAGTCACAACATTGCTTTCTTTTGTCATTGCACTTCTACAGCACAGAAATACACAAAGAGCCACAAATAAACCACAAGCAGTTACCCTTATTCACAAACAGTGCCATGACCATTGGATCATAGTTACCAAATGATCTAAAACAGTTCATTTAACATTAGTGCACATAGCAAGATTTTACTGGACAGATTCAACCGGGCACAGTCAGAAATATAGGGACAAAATCGGGCTTTGGCAGATTGTCACGATTGTGAGAGAAAATTGAAAGCACTTGACTTTAAGGATTGTATTACATGACCCTCAAAACTTGAACAAATGCTTAAAAATAGAGAACCTGGTGAATGTGAACCCTTAATCAGCATCCGTTAATCCACCAAACAGTCTGGTACATGCAGCACCTCTGCGGTTGCAGATGTCGAGATCGCTTTCTGTTCTATTTCTTGGAAATAGCTGGTCCAAAAGCATCAAGAATGCCTTCACAAAGAGACATGATTGTATCTTCAAAACTGCCAATTACGCTGATGTTAAAAAATGTAACAAATGAGTTTGGACAAAAGTGCCAAAATTCTCTCTCCGAGGGCCTTTTAGTGAGACAGAAAGTCACAAAAATGTCCAACCTCATGAAAGGTATATATGAAAATGCAACAAAAAAGTGCAAATAATGAAAGATAAATTAAAATGACTGGTTTAAAACATGGGTTACTTAAACTATTAAGTAAATCAATAGGTTGGCCTCATTTCAAACACCACATTCTTATTCTTCGTATGATTAACAGTTGACAGTTAAAGCCCCACATTTCATCCATCTGAAATAAGTATATTTAGCTCCTTTGATTTCTGGTTGGTTGCCTCCTGCAAACAGAAGGTTCTAACTATAGGTGGGTGGGACAGCTGTGTGCTTGAGATGACCTTACTAAGGATATCCCCTCTTGATGAATCGCAGGTGCTTATGCCTGGCACATTGGCAACTTTCCCCATGTTTAATATGAACATTCAATATACATGAAATAAAATAAGAATAAACAGAATAGGTCAACTTTACCTTCCCTCTTTATGAAATCCTGATTAAAATAAAGCATCCTGGATTTGCACTTCAGATTCCACTATAAAAACTGCATAAAGTCTTTGGGTGAGCAATTTCCAATTTAGAAGAAAAACTAATTCTTCTCCAAGACCTGAAAAGTACAGGACTTTGGCATCTACAATATGTAATAAACCTCATAATTTACATCAGACACTGTTGGTTACAAGCTTACAAAATGCAACCTTATCGCTCATGGTCATTAACAACAAGCTGAACTGCTGGGCTGATCTACTTTTACAATGTAATCTACAAGCAAAGTGAGTGAAAGCACACAGGACAAGGCTTTCTAAGAAGGAAACAAATAAACGTTGAATTCATGATTTATGTCAAACATACATGTACTGTACATGTGCCCCAAAAGCCTACTGGCTCATCAAATATCAAAATTCTGCATTTACACACAAGTAATATGCACATCACCACAAAGGCAGTGACAAATACAAACTTAAATATACCGTTAATGTAAACGAGTTAAATATTCCAAATGACACACATACTTTCACAAGAGTCACATTCTAGGATGCATAGTTTTGTGAAAAGAATGATTACACACACATCAACCGCACGTACACTTACACACAGGCACACACGCACACAAAATTGACATTCACGCTAAATGCAAATCATCATACAGACACACAAACACACACACACACGCACGACTGTGCAATACAATGCTAGAATTAAAAAGCCACCGATGAGTACTCCAGTATATGTGTGTCAAGCGTTGAACGTGTCCTTACGACCGAGTCTGAACACAAAGTCCAAGAAGAGGGGCCGGTCACAGGCTCACCAATGACAGAGTATCTGAAGGTTTTAGAATTTAAGGCCTTTCAATTTAAGTAGAACTTAAAGAAGAAAAAAACCTCAACTTTCACTACCAGCTTGTGGTCTGAAAAGTTTTTTTTTCAGTTCCAGGACATTGCAGTGCTTTGTATGAATCCAGGTGGTCTTATGATTGATGTCTTTTGTAACTTCAAGGCCCTCCGTAAAATAAAATTTAGAGCACAGGAGATATCATTTACACACAAGTGGTTCATTTTTTTTCTTCAAAGATTTATTTCTAAGCTTTTTTTGCCTTTATTGCAAAGGATCGGCTGCAAGAGCGAGGATGACATGCAACATGGGTGACATGCAACATGGGTAGCATGTTCTTTATTTCTATATATTTCTAAAATTATGTTTTGGTTCAAATAATCTACTTTCACTACTTTACAATTTTCTTTAATTGGCTGCAAAGTTTTCTGCAGTGTCGTGTGGAAGCTCCTCATTGAAACAGCCACACAAAGCGTCAACCGAATACATCAAGTCCTCCTCGATATCAGCAGAAGACAAATATATGTCGTAAATTACGTGTATAGCGGAAGTAAATTCTGTTTTACACTGGTGGAAGTGAGCCAATCCGTTATTGCAGATACTCTGACTGGACTCTGACCGCAATTCTTAAACTCTGTGTTCATAATTTAGGAAGGACACATCTTTAAATGTAGATGCCTCAGTTATCAAGGCCAAATGATTACTAAGGAACTTCTAAGTCAAGTTTCATCCCATTCAGCTCAGACCTTTAAAGCTTGGAGTGAAAGAAGGGACTTAATAAGAGGAGGCGAGGGCTGGTCTGACAAATTGGCTTATGGTAAATCATCATAGATACTTGAAATAGGAGGTGCTGAGAGTTTGGGCCTCTTTTTTTTGGTCGATATACTGATATTACTCTGAGAGCTGCTGCCGCCGCCTCCAGCCAGGCTTCCACTCCCACTTCCTCCTCCTCCACTGTTCAATGGAAGAGATGGCTTCTTCTTTTTCTTGGGTTTCCGAGAATCTGAATGGTTGGTGCCTGCAACAAGAACAGGAATGTATTTTACTGATAAAACCTACATGTCATAATTACTAAATGAGTGTCCCTTCCTTACTGGCTTTAGATGAAGCAGAATCAGTAGGTGAAATATCCGAGTCCTCCCACTGCAGGCGGCTCATTAAGGGTTGTGCATCTGGAATGTCAAAGCTGTCAGTCTCCACGGCATCTGCATCAGGCAGCGTTGGCCTGTGACATAAAAAACAGACACAGTAACACAGTTTTAGACAAAGCCACACACAGATATACACACAAACAAAATGTCTATATATCTGTCATGTAATTGCACTTTTCAGTTTAAGTTTCTTTTCCATCTCTATAATACCAATAACAACACCACTATTACTTTTAATAATAACAACTCTACAACACAAATGCACATTTGCCCAACATTTTGCTTATAGTTGTTGGACAAATGTATCTTTGTGTGCTTATTAACACATGTCCTTCTTTCTGACCCACACTGGTTTTTTTATACATGACTTCCTCTCACTGGGTTTTTGATTTTAGGTGAATTCTTGGGGAAAAAAGAAAATGTCTCGAGAATCAAAAGAATCAAATTTCAAGCAAAAACAATAACATCAAAAACTGCTTATTATTGCCTCTATCAATAACAAGATAAATAGCTTCATTTTCTGAACCGTGTGCATAAAGACAAGGCCTGGAAAATTATACTCAACCATTTTCACCATTTCTGTCACTTTGTAGATGAAATATTTTATACATGAACTAAGATGATATTTCTGTTTAAGGTAATTCTTTAAGCGCAGTCTACTCATCTCAGCTGTTAAACAATACCTTCAGACTAAGATGTATGGAGTGGGTTTATTATTATTTTTAGTAAGGCCGATAGGCTGTGGTTTTTATGATAACAAATAGTTACAAGTGAGGGTGCTACAACCACAGATTTTGGTGTCATGTTCCGGTTCACAGGACCAGAAAAACTTCCTGTGGTAGTCTATCGATCTTTCCCAGTGTTTAAAACTCATGCAGCGTTCAGTTCTGTTAACAATGGCTTTACAAGTCATTTACAACAGTGCTTTTGCATAAAAGTCGTTCCTGGCAAGAAAGGCGTCCCTCTGCCAGAGTATTCACAACACCGACCAGCAGCATCGCTCTGTCACTGTCTCCAGCCAAGGCAACCATATCAGCAAACAGTGAACTGTTTGAGCAAACACCTGCACGATGAGGGTAACGACACCAACTCAAACATGACTTTTGTCAAGTGCACTCTAGTTAGTGGTTTTGGTGAGGAACGGGTCAGGGTACACTCACGCGGACGGCCCCAGGAGGAACAACCTGACGGCCCTCCTCTGTTCGTCCGTGTGTTGGGGACATCGCTGAGACCTGGTGGGACACAAGGTGGCATTATACATCCCTGACTGATGGCCCGCCCATACCCACCACGTAGTTTTACACATCTCCCTGCCTGCAAGCCAGCAGGGAAGGTGGGGCGGACTGATGGGACACAGTCAGAGACCAACTGATAATGGGCAGTTATGAGTTACAAACTATTAGAGGTTAGTCACTGATGGGTTCCTTATTTTTATAAGTCTGTTGTTAAGACCTTTAAAGATTTGGCTCTTCACCTTGGAGAAAAAGAACAGGTCTAAAAGAGATCAATTATGAGTTGCCACTTGTGTTCCCTTGAGTTAGTTTGATCATACACAATTTTCTTATTTAATTAAAAAAAAAACCAACTTCCTTATATTTATGTATTTCATTTTCAGCTGTGACTTTCAGTTTCAGACAACAGTTCTAAGCAATTAAGATTTCAAGCTATGAGGACGCTGACCTCAGAATTTAGATTCAATTAGATGGTTAAACCAACATGAATCCAGGTGTTATGTTACCAGAAACTGTGCTGCAGGGAGCGA